AAACAGTTAAAGCTAATTTCCCCTCTGCTTTTCTGTCCTGGTGAGAGAGCAGTAAAAAAAAAAAAAGCAAAGTTTATATAAAGCAGTTTTAACCACAAATGTTAGAATCGTTCTACTAATGAAAACATGATTTTCATATATATCAAAAACATGCTGTAGTTTGAAGAAATACATAAAAACTCTATTATTAGACAGGATAATAGTATATTATGCTATATACTACTTGGTTTGACAATGATTATTGCATAAGTGAAGGCAGGTTGATATCTGTTTAAATAGTTTAACCTAAAGCTACCCTTTTTTTTCTGATATTAATCTCCACTTTGACTAACTCCAAGATTAATTTTATGTCATTTCCTTGAATTACAAATACTATAAACAAGAGGAACAGCGAAACATTTTTCTCAGTAATGAGTCAGAAAAAAAAACATAGTTAAAACCAAGAAAACTTTCCGAAATATATGTTGTAGGGACATAAATAAAATAAGTAAGATGAATTACAGCTAAGCATCTGTCTTATAGTGTACAAGCAGTTTAGGATTCTGAGCAGATGAAAAAGAAATAAAGCAAATGAGAAAGAAAAAGGAGGAAAAGAAAGCAAAAGAGCTGATAAAGTTTCTGGCTACAATACAGGAGACATATCATTACCATATGATCTAATGTGGGTGTCAGCCTGGATTGTGTTCATTGAGAGAAACCTTATTTTTTAACTGTGCTATGGAATAGAAGCAGGAGGGTTTTCCACCAAGTGACAGTCACTGAGCTGAACTTACCCCCTCCTCCTTTCCACACCTGCAAAGCCTTTTGCCTGGGTTGAATATTTAGTTTAATTACATCTCAGCTTTGAGAGCTCCTGTTGCAAATCCCTGGATTAAAAGGTACGGTTTTCAGTACTTCTCCTGAACTATGCTGCACTAATAAAACTTCAGGCAAGTCTACGGCAAGAACTAGTTGAATTTTAAGAGAAGCAAGGAAAAAATCCTACTGAATGTTTAGCAATGTTAAGTTTTGTATCCAGCACTTTTGTTTCTTGGGAACATAAGAATGCATTCTCAAGGACTGTGTGGATTTCCTACTGTTTATTTGACTGTTCTGTCTCTTGTTTTGATTTGTATAAGCACTGCTATAGTCCTTTCTTTTTCCTTACTGTAAACTTTTGCAGCAGTATATTCTCAGTTTGCAATCCAGTGTTTAGAATCGGTGATGTAGTGAGTGTAAAAAATGTGTGAGTTCTTACATTTCTGTTTTAAACTGCACTCTGTGATTTCTTTTTCATTCGAATTGCTTCATGCATATTCCGAACTTTAATGAATATAATTTCAATTTCAGAGAAAAAAATACGTAGCAGTTAGTTAAATGGTCTCAGTGTATGCCTTTGTAATGCTAGAAAGTGCTATGTTACAATGTACAAACAACGGACTCACATTTAAAGAAGGTTCCTATGAATGAAATAGTCGAAAAGAAAATTTCTGGTGAAACTCCTGTTAACAGAGCTTTAATCTCTTTAAAACTTCCAACTCCTGTGTCTGCCCATCTAGGCTTTATTACATAAAATGGGTAAAACATATAACGCAGGGGATTATTTTTGAAACTTCATATATTGTTTAACTTGTCTTTTGTGGCATTTTGAGAGATTTCTGACAGTAGATGAACTAATATTTAAAACTTAATATTAAGGTAAACTGACAAGAAGACCACCAATACAGTGGTGACGTGAACTGATGAAGCATATTTCCAGTGGTATTTTAAACTGAAATGTGGCCAAGCCTATGGTATAGTTTCCTCTGTTTGTGGAAAAGTCTTCCTCATTGTAAACACATAATTAAAGCAAATTTAAACAGTTACGTCCTGCAGACATAAATATTGTGTCACAGACCTTTAAGAATCCAGATTTTTTTCCCCTCTCTATTTTTTCATGAAATGTAAACATTTCTTACTAGTACAGTTTTGTATATATTTTTTCTCTGTTTATGTTCTTTTACACATGCAAACAATAGGAACAGATATGTGTGCCTGCAGTATGAATACATATACTAATAAAGATATGCCGACACGTATTTATTTCTATTTGCTGATTAATATGTAGCTTATGTCTGCCATTTTCTCTGCTGTGTCCTCAGATTAGATCCTTGATATCCTTTGTTGTCCTACAGCTTTCCTTTAGACACAGCTCTTACTGATTTTATTATAGTTTTGACAAAATGGGGACCAAAGGAAAAGGCCTACTACAGGGTTTAACTTAGATAAGCGAAGTCATCAATATTAATGTGAACAAGAAATAAAGTGTGAAGACACTTCCAAAGTGCCTTTGCATTGTTTTTTTGGGGGGTGGGTTTGAGGGGTGGTAATTTAATTCCAGGACAAGATCCTGATTGTGCATTCTTGGGATGGACGGTGCTTCAGCAGTGACCCGGGGGGGTTGGGGGGGTGTGTGGAAGACAAGCAGCTTTAAATATTTAAAAATATTTTTTAAATATGCAAATACAGAAAAAACTACTGGGGAAGCTCTTTAAAAAGTACTGACTGCTGGTGCCATGCCAGGGTTGGTGTGCATCGTTCCCAACGTTTATTGATGCTAATGTACATTCTGAAGAATCATTTGTACTGGAGTAATGTTTTATTGATCGTTTTCACAAGGCAGCTTATTACAATGAATAGTCATGATTTAGCAAATTTGTCTTCCTGTTTCAGACTATTAATGAATTGCATTGTTATTTTACAACAATGTGTACATAATAATGATTATTTCAAAAATCTTGGTTTAGATTAAACCATGATAAGAACTCACCACCATGTGTTAACAGGACTTTGCTGTGACATCCTTACTCGTCCGTGCATACCCTGTGCGCATCACAGGGGTGTTGCTGGGGAAGGGACACAGCCCCAGTGTCGGTGGGGGGCCAGGGCAGGAGGGAGAGCAGGAAGATGGCCCGCATGAGGACAGAGCCTGCCCCTGCTACATGGGACAAGTTTGCACAGCACTGAGTTGGGCAAACAGGGCATGCTAAAATACTCTAACCCTCTAGTTGACGTTGGGGTCTGTGAAACCCCTCGGTGAAGGCAATAGGTCATATGTCTGCTGCAGGAATAAAAAATGCTTTCAGGCCCAACTAAGAAACCAGCTATGTCTCTTGAAGAGGCAACAGAAATGGTGTTTTTCTTCTTGTGAAGTCACTTTGAAGTCTTTGGGACATCTGAAGATGTTAGATACCTGTCTTCCTGATAGTGAGATGACAGAAATGTAAGCTATGATTTTAAAACACTGGCATATTTTGTAAGATAACTTTATCATCCTCTCAAGACTGAGCTCTAAAGGTTTCTGCAGGATTGCATTATTGGCATCTTTAGGTAGAAATTCATAAAGGAAATTGAACCCAGGCACAATATAGATTGTATCTAATTCCAGGCCTCTGTTTTTTATTTATTTAGCTTGCTTTTTTTTTTTTTTTTTTTTTTTTAAATACTAACCACTCCTGTTAGAGTACCTGGATGTGGCATTCTAGAAAGAGAGGCCTCAGTATACCAATCTCATCTAACATCAGCTGCTCATGTTAGTCATCTACCTGGTAGGTTCCATGTGTCAATATACAGAAGGATACAGTCCTGTTCCTCTGCCTCTTCCCCAGTTTTTTTTGTCTTTCCATTAGCCAACATGGAGATGAGAAATGCTATACCACGCCCCTAACTGTTAGATAACTTCTGCTAGAAAAAAAATTAATCCCAGCTTTTGGGGATTTCGGAAGTTATTGACCTGAAGAATCAAGAGGAGATTTTTGCTTTCTTTTCAAAGAGCAACATCTGTACTCAGGACTATGCCACCCATTTTAAGAAAAGGCTCCTGAATAAACAACAAGTTTGCCTTTCTGTCACTTGGCAAGTTGAAGGCAGGTTTCTTCATATTTTTTTGTGGATTGTTTTTAGACCCATGAAGGTTTGTAAAAGATAAGCTTCCTTATATAGAAAAATAGCAAAAGAAAATAATTTTCCAGAAAATTAGCTGATTTATACAGCCTTGATACAAAACCTGCAAACTGCTGTTTTGTAATTTCTCCTTTTCACACAACAACACAGGTAGCACAATGTACAGTGAGTCGAGATGCATTTAGACCTAGGTCCTGAGGACACATATTTAAGCAGTTTTCCTGCTTGCGCAAAGTTGCTCCTGAGCAGGAAAGTCTGCAGAATGAGGCCCTCAAGTCCCATTGGAAAGCGTGCTGACAATACTACAAGCATCAATGCAAATGCTTATGCAGTGCAAAGCACAGGATTTTCAGGGTGCATTGTTTATATCATAAAATCCCTTAGCCAAACATTTGGAAAGAAAGCCAAGAATATCTGATATAGCACAACATCGTATTCCATTTTTTTCACGCTGTTTAAACTGGGAAAGAAGCATAGCTCATTTAAACAACTAAAGATGTACCCCTGTCTCTCCACCCTGTCACTAGAACCTACTCTTTCTCAGTAATTTTTACTAGGCTATAATTTAAAACACACAGAAATCTGGCACTTTAAAAAAAAAAAAAAATTTCTCAAGACATGAAATACTGCATTACAGTGAGTTTGGGAACCTCAGGTTCGTCCCCAGGGGACAAACTCATTGCTATGAAACAAATGCTAATGAAATCAAATAGACTGTTACGTTGGCAGAAAACAGACACATGGAAAATGTGGCTTATTGTTTTGACTGTTTTGCATAACAAAGTTGACAGCACTGCCTGTTCCTAATAAATATTACTCTAAATATGCAAACAGATGTGTTTACAGTTCCCTTTAAACAGCTCCGTAAAAAAAAGCCTATTGACAAGCCGTTACCAGACTGCTATCACATAACTGTCCTATTTTCACAATTCAGTATTCATTTATTGAAAGGAGCAGTTATGCAATTGGTGG